ATTTTTCTGTTGCCCTCTCCCCCGTTTGCTGTCGCGTTCAGACTGTCTCTAGGGATATCCCTGTCTCTGTGCGAGTTTGTTTATGTCCTCGTCTGTCCTTGGTTTATTTCGTTTTATTTTGTTTTTTTTTTTTACTGGCGCGTACTGTTGACCCTTGGGGTCCTTCCGGAAGGCTACCCCCCAGGCTGGTGGTGCGCACGTTCCACTATTTATTTATTTATGTGTTTCTGATTTTTTTTTTTTTTCTTGTATTTTCTCGCTCTGCTGACCCTTGGGGTCCATTTTTTTTTGGTATACCTTTTCTAGGTACGTAAGCCTGTGACCACGGAAATTGACCGAGTCAAGTGTTGGATTAGTACGGAGAGATTGAGACAGAAGGAGGTACTGGATAGAGAGACCGGGATGGTTTTTAATGTGAAGACAACAACAACAACAACAGCAACAACATCGCCGGCCGCTGCTGTACCATGTCGTCACCCGATGAGAGCAAGACCAGGCTCATTTGAAAGCTGTGGTTGCCGTCTGTCACTTGATATGTGGTAGGTCTACTGCCCTAGCTTTACTGTGTATATCAAGGCTTTGGACCATAATGTTCGATTCCTGCGATTGAAAAAAAACTGCGGACACGCCCATTTTTTCGCCGGAAAAAAGCAAAAATTTGCTCCTATTAACTATTTGCCACCGTAACAGTACCCGGTGCAAAACCCCCCAAAAGGAAGCTATGTACATCAGCAGCAAACCACAACCGACAACATGAACCATTTCAGGCTCGGTAGACATGACGTGTACCTTTCTCAACACGAAGATAGGTAAACAGGTCAACCAACCCATCACAGCTTTACTCGTTGAACAAAACACTCGGATTCGCCGGTAGAAAGCCACGGGTGCTTGCTCATCATCACTGCTAATCGTCTGACAAAGACAGGCTTACAATATTGGACGCGGAAAAAAAAAGGTTGTTCTTATGCACGCCACTTGCCTGCCGAAGCTGAACGCTCCCACGCTGTACCCAAGGGTGATGCGGTCGCCTCCCATGGCCTGCACGTACTTCCATAGGGTGGGGAAGAAGATGCCTCGGGCAGTGTCGCCAAGAAACACCACGCACATCACGATCACCAGCGACGCCTTGTCATCGAGCGTGGGGCTCACCTACAGTATATGTACGGGTTAAGTTTTGCGAAACGTTGTCAGTGAAACTGCTGTTAGATTCGGGGGAGGGGGGGGGGGG